TTCTCGTCCGCTGGCAGCTGGACGGCCGTCCTTGAAGCATGACACATTCTCCGCCGTGGCTCCAGGCACCTGACCACAGCACTCGAACGACTTGGAGATAAGGTCAGGGGAAAGGCCTTGCCAAGCCTTCACCACAACGTCACACAGCTTCGACTTTGACATGGCACGCATGTTACCAGCAGCAGTGTATGACTTCTCTCCGGTTGCCATCCACTCGTCATACTGCTCCCGGATAGAAGTCTTGAATGGCTTATTCCAGCTGACATCCGGTGCTTGGATGAGGCCAGTGCACCCTCCTGGAATAACGGCACAGTCGATGTTCTGCTCGCGGCGGGTGGCCTTCACAGCATCACACACATGGCAGCGGTAAGAGTCCCATATGAGGAGCCTCTTCCCAAACGCAAAGGTACCCATCACCTTCTTGAGCCAGTCCGTCGTCAAGTCAGAGTTGAACCACCCATTGTCGGAGTAACTCACGACAATGTCGCGTCTGGCTTTCAGCTCCTTGTCCTCGGCCGTCTTGCCCTTTCCCTTGAAGATGATGTAGGGTAGGAGCTTCTTCCCGTCAGCTGAAGCACACAGAGCAACGGTTACATTGGCCTTGTCGTGGCCTGTTGATGCCAATGGAACAGATTGTGCTCCTACCACTTCCACTGTCCGACTGCTGGTGGAATCGAACCACACAGCAGTTTCATCCATAGCGAAGATGTTGGCCTTCGTCATGGTCGGATGTTCCGCGAAATACTTCCTCAGATACATCAGAAAATCCGTCAGTTTGGGAATCAAGTCTTCCGGAGATCGTTGGCTTTGATGGGTCTTCATTCTCATCGTCAGACGAAAACGCATAAAGAAGTTGGCACACCAACCAGCACTGGCGTTGAACTCCTCGGCGTTTCCCATCTCGGCATGGAGCTGTTTAGCCTTTGCACGGACAGACTTCCTGCTCACTCGTCGTCTCTGCTGACGTTCCCCAACAAGCCACTCGAACAAATTAGCTTCCAAATCCGTGAACTGGCTCCGCTTCCCACCAGATGTCCGGGATCGCTGCTCACCACGGCTGGTTTTGGACCTCTCCGCCACAAGAAGCTGGTTTTCTTGCCGTTTCCATCGCCGCACCATACTCTCGTCGATGCTGTGCTTTCTAGAAGCAGCAGTGACAGAAGTCGATTTTGCAGCTTTCACTACCGCCAGCTTGAATGTCGCTGAGTATTTTTTCCGAAGTCCTTTTGTTTTCGGCATTTCGACAAGCAGACTTGGTTGAGATGAGTTCTATCTACGGGTAGACTGCAACAAACACAAGTGAAAAGTTCGAGGAGCGCCGAAACAACTTCAAACAAGCAACTTGCCAAGGGACAAGACGGAAAATGCCATGGGAAAGGTAAGTTTGAAGCTTGAAGAGTGCTGCATGGCCGTCGAGCGCAGCTGGTGTTGATTTCCGCATCTTCCCGCGTTTTCCGCGTGTGCAAGTGTACGGTACCATGCAAACATGAACATGTAAAAGGCGCGCTCACCAGTCTTGCGTAGTAGCCCGGCTTACGCACGCGACACGTGGCGCGTCTCGTGTACTGGCCCGGCTTATGCATGCGACAGGCTTGTACGCGAAAAGCTGTTGCAGATTTCATGCTTCTACACGAGACAGGCTTATGCACAAATCCGGCTTATGCACGCGACATTACGGTATGTACTCTTGACCGTACATAGCGCATGCACTCTTGACCTACCCAATCCGCGCTTGCATAGAAGCCAGGCTTCTACGCGCGACAGGCGTATATGCATTTGACCCGTTTGATTTTCAGGCTTCTATCCGCGATGTGCTTGTATGCAAACCCGGCTTTTATCCGCGACTTTACGGTACATTAAGCGAGACAGGGTGAGCGGGAAAAGGGGTGCACGCAGTTTAGCGAGACAGGGTGAGCGGGAAAAGGGGTGCATGCAGTTAGTGAGACAGGGTGAGCGGGAAAAGGGGTCAGCAGGGAGAGCATGAATATGTGTAGGGAAGTGCATGAATATGTGTAGGGGAGTGTGTGCGTATGGGAGTGTGTACGGGGCTCATACATGTACAACAGCCATGACAATGGTTGTAGCCATGAAGATGGATGTAGCCATGACGATGGTTGTAGCCATGACGACAGTTGTAGCCATGACGACGGTTGTAGCCATGTCAACGGCTGTAGCCATGATGATGATCTTCTTATTGTAGGCTTGCAGGTGGTGCACACCTATGTTGCGAGTAAAGGAAGGGTATATCACGGTTTCCACTATCGAGAAGAAAGGCTAGAGAAAGGGTTGCACATGAACCCTTGTGCCCACCAGGCATCACAAGCTACGCGCCTGTGGTACGGAAATCGCATGTACATGTCTCTCTGTCTGTCTGTGTCTGTGCGTGCCCGCCCATTTTGTTGTGCACAGATCCGGTCCTTCCCAACGACGTAGCACAGCTGATGGCGGAGCTCTATTTATACGCCACGCAGAAGCTGCGCGTGGCTGCGCCCGTCTACATGTTCCAGTGGAAAATGGACAATAATGTCCGCTTGCACCGCTGTCAGGTTGTCATCAATGGCACCAGGTATGTGTGCAATAGAACAACCTGTGTTTGTTGGGCTCTGCACTGCCATGTGCAATTTGAACCTGTCTTTGTCGGGCCCTGTGCCATGGGCAATAAAACCTGTGTTTTGTCTGGCCCTGTGCCATGTGCAATAGAACCTGTATTTGTCGAGCCCTGTACAATGTGCAACCCTGTATTGGCCGGACACCAAAGTGCTGTGGATGGAACATGCATCCCTGGAAACACTCCACTTTTGGAAGATACCGGGCCTTTTACCAGAATGCCGTATCAGCTGGCATCATTATCTCTTCATGGGGGCCTTATATGAATCCCAAGGAATGGGGGGGGGGGGGGGGCATCGTGAAAACTAGACCCAAAAAGTCGATATATGAAGCCAGGGAGGGCCAAGTTTGTCTCCTCTTTTGATGGTTTTGATGACGTCACGTGTGATTAGTATTCAAATTCTCTGCATTTGAAGATCTTAGTTTTTGAATTTTCTGGTGATGAAGAACGATGTTTGGTCAACATTCCCAAGCTTCACAACTGCGACCATACTCTAAGGAACCTGAAGGACCACCTGAGGTGCCCCCGGTAGAAGCGCAGCCTGATGAGGGCCAGGAAATTGGAGCGGACGACTTCACTGATCGACAAGGAAATAACGATTGGTGTTCCTGCCAGAAATGCGGGGTGATGCAGAGGGCAGTCGAATACCTTCGCTGTCGAGAGAGCGCTGCAGCTGTTAGCATTGGCAGCCCTTTGACATGCGTTACACATCACCCCGACTTCGCGTCAGCTTGTCTAAACAAAACTGTTCTGACCATATGCCTCACGGCGTATAGAGAATTTCGGGATCCTCGTACTCGGACCAGTGAAGTCGTCCGCTCCAATTTCCTGGCCCTCATCAGGCTGCGCTTCTACCAGGGGCACCTCAGGAGGTCCTTCAGGTTCCTTAGAGTATGGTCGCAGTTGTGAAGCTTGGGAATGTTGACCAAACATCGTTCTTCATCACCAGAAAATTCAAAAAACTAAGATCTTCAAATGCAGAGAATTTGAATACTAATCACACGTGACGTCATCAAAACCATCAAAAGAGGAGACAAACTTGGCCCTCCCTGGCTTCATATATCGACTTTTTGGGTCTAGTTTTCACGATTCCCCATTGGCCCCCCATGAAGAGAACACACCACCGAAAATATTCCCGGAGTGCCCCTTTAAGCAATGGGTTTTTGTTGCCTTCTGACCATTTCATTACATTACTTTTGCTGCCTTAAGTTCACTATAGTAGTATACACAAGAGAGATTGGAAGATTTGTCACAACTCTGAGTTTCACGTACAGTCAAATCTGCCGTTAGCGACCTCTGCTGTAGGCGACCATCTACCGTTAGCGACCGATTTTCCGTGCACCGACGGTTTCACATACAAATTGATCTCTCCGGAGCGACCATCTGCTGTGCGCGACCAGCGACCGCGATTTCATGCACGGTGGCTGCATTCAAATCTGCTGTAAGCGACCGCGAACCACGTTCAGTCAGGGGTGCGAAACTGTACTTGCCAGTGTGCTGTCAACTGCAAGGTGTGAAAATGCGCTGTCTTGCAAGTGCGATCGACTGGCCCTGGCAACCTATTCTATTGAATATCCAATAAAATGATAATTATTAAAAATGACATTATTCTCGTCGATTTGAGTACATGGAAGCATATACATGTATGCATGCAGGTATGCCGGATTTACCATACATCTGCCGCAAGAGACCGCTTTTTCTTGCACCAAGGGGCGGTCGCTTACGACAGATTTGACTGTATTACTACGATCATCAGGCAACATAGTAGTAGCAACATAATAGTATACATGTAACTTTACTAGCCAAATCGACTGGTGTGGTAGGTTTAGGATTGCCTGGTTTGTGGTGCTGGCAGCTTGTTGGCTGCTCGGAACGTGGCATTGCCAGCACGGGTGAATGTGACGGTAGTGACTTGTTCTTGTTCTTTTCTGCGTGCAGCATTGTATGCCCTGGGCAGTTCAAGACGTTGCATGAGGCATCCAAGGCAGCAGCTAGGTATGCGCTGCAGAACCTGCAGTCGCCCAAGTCACAGTACGCCGCGACCCTCAGCACCATGACCATCCAATGAGGATGAGAGAGAGAGACAGACACACCCGCTAGGTTTAGACCGGCAGCACAGCAGTGCCGTGTTCTGCGGTCAACATGGCAGCGCGGCGGCAGCAGCAGGCCCTAGTACTCCTCGTATGTGCCGGTGAATCAGCGTGGATGAACTTTTTGAACTCCTTGTACATAGGTACATAGAACATTACTGCAGGGCATCTGCGCCTGTGGCTGTGTGCAAGCAGTTTGTGACTAATTTGATAGTGCAAACCCCAACTTTGCAGTTTTGCAATTATTTAATAGTTTCTAATGCTTGTGGTGCCCGTAGCAGAGAAGATGGGTTGCAGTGTGAGAGATGGGTTGCAGTGTGAGAGATGGGTTGCAGTGTGAGAGATGGGTTGCAGTGTGAGAGATGGGTTGCAGTGTGAGAGATGGGTTGCAGTGTGAGAGATGGGTTGCAGTGTGAGAGAGATGGGTTGCAGTGTGAGAGATGGGTTGCAGTGTAAGAGATGGGTTGCAGTGTGAGAGAGATGGGTTGCAGTGTGAGAGATGGGTTGCAGTGTGAGAGATGGGTTGCAGTGTGAGAGATGGGTTGCAGTGTGAGAGATGGGTTGCAGTGTGAGAGATGGGTTGCAGTGTGAGAGATGGGTTGCAGTGTGAGAGATGGGTTGCAGTGTGAGAGATGGGTTGCAGTGTGAGAGATGGGTTGCAGTGTGAGAGATGGGTTGCAGTGTGAGAGATGGGTTGCAGTGTGAGAGATGGGTTGCAGTGTGAGAGATGGGTTGCAGTGTGAGAGATGGGTTGCAGTGTGAGATGGGTTGCAGTGTGAGATGGGTTGCAGTGTGAGAGATGGGTTGCAGTGTGAGATGAACAACTCTTGCCGCCGAGTATAGTGCTGCTTAGTGAAAACTGATCTCGCACGAGTTATGTTTGCGCCGTGCACCAGTACACCGCCCGGCATGACTACATGATCGGATTTCTTTGAGCAGCAGTAAACTCGATGAAGTTCAGGGCTAGTACTTGTACAGAAACACGTGGGCGCCATCTTGGTTCACGTGACATGTGTCAGACCATGCTGTGTACAGGGAATCTTGCCGTACTTCGCGTCGACTCTGGCCTGTTCAAATCCACGCAAGTGAGCCACAGTTCTCTCTAGCAGGCTGAGATTTTGCAGGCACCGAGTTCAGATGTGGGCAAAGGGATTCACCGAAGGATTTTTTGATTTTCGCAATTTAGACCTCAAATAACACCCTCAAACTCGGTAAACGTGTCCCACCTCTAGGATCATTTTGGCGAAATTCGCTTCGGTGAAAGTATGGAGCATCTTCTACTGAAAATTTTGAGCCATCGATTGTCAAAATCGGCTCATGTGGAGCTCACTTGTGTCGTTTTGAAGGACGCCGCGCCACGCGCGACTTGCGCTGGTTCTTTCACAAACGGAAGACACCTTCCAGTCAGAACTGCAGACTGTGACAGTGCGCACGGCAAGGAAAAGAAGGAGACGTGCATTTTCCATTTGTTGCACTGTGTCCTTTGCTTTTATTGTTCACTGATAACGTGTTCGCAAAATCTTGAGCTAGAGAGAAGACTGACTTACAATCTGATTCATCTAGGCTTCAGCGTGATGCACGTATCCAGACCATAGGAAATATTGGGAAAGGAACCGGGAACCACGAGAATAATTTTTCTGGAGCGAATCCAATTATTACCATGGTTCCTTGTTCTTGAACACCGCGCTCCACATCGTCAATGTTCTGCGAGGTAAGGATTTCAGGACTACTGTCGGTTTGTTCGACCTCGGGGCGATCTGATCTACGTCCAGCTGGCCATGATACTGAGCCGAACTGGCCACTAGTTCGCTTCTTTCTCGACTCGGGATAATCAAGCCGGTCAGAGTGCGACTTTTTCCTACCCTGGACTGATGCGACCCATGGCGCGGACTGAAAATAACTACTGAACACCTCCTTGTACAAGCACTGACATACAAGACCGGTGGTGGATACAAACTGACAACAGGAAACCCTAACAGCACCCGCTCTGTCAAAGAAAGTCGAAGGGAAGCAGTTCGAACTAGTTCAAGCACCACCAAAAAATATAAAAAAACTAGCACTTGCTCTTGCAGCTAGGTCAAAGACTGCACTGGCAAGTACACTTTTGCACAGTCGCGATCTCGCGGCCCCGCATCACGTGCGGGTATCTGATGACGTAGAGTGATTCAAGATGGCCTCTGACGTGTTTGCCGTTTTGTGATCCCAAATACCAGCCCTGAAGTTACCCTTCAGTATGATCTGCATGTCAGCTGTCATTGTCGCCAGCACAATTATGAACGCGAGTAAACCAGGTTTACGCTCTCTCTTTTTAACGGTTCGCGTGAGACTCTCGACTTGAGGCCGAGTTTTCCGCATCCGTAGCAACGCCACCGCCCTTCAAGGATCAAGGCGCAGATGCAGCTCCCAAAGCGGTGGGAGGTGAGCAGATCAGACCCCTCTATTTATTTCTCCTTTGTGCTTGATTCTTGAAGTAGAACTCCTGCCACAACAAAGTCACTACAATAGAGTCTGTGACAACTCGAGCATTAGAGAGATACAGGACAGGGACAGTCATTGCGGATATGAAAGTATGCCTCAGTGAATCGCCGGCAGCAGTTTGCGAATCAGAGTGGACTTTTGACAGACTTTTGAAAGTTGAAACGCTTGTTGGCGTCGACCAGTTCCACTGCTGCTTCCATCTTTACTGGATCGGGAGTTTGGGTTGTGCCTTGCCAGTCACAATATGACCGAGGAACTTGTGTAGTACCGTAAAGTACCGCCAGAGCGCCCCACCATCTCGTCCTTTCGTGGTCGTATTGTGGAGGTGGTCTGCTGTCTGTAGGTCTGCAGTCTATCCGTACCTTCGAGCGGACACAAGCTCCGCACAAAAACCTGCCGAGTGTGACCTTAGTACACGGTTCTCACATCGTACAAACGTTAAACTTCGTTGCATTCTGCCATACGATTTTCCTTTCCCTGGCTGTAAAATCAAGGTGGGGCGCTCTGGCGGTACTTTACGGTACATGTACCGTAATAACTAGGGAGTCGTAAAATACAGTTTTTACGACTCCCTGGTAATAACGCACTTATAAGCACATGCGTGCTTATAAGTGAATTTTTGCTACGAATCCAATTTTCAAAAATGATTTTTTCACCTAAACGCGCATGCGCGATCAGTGTTCGTTTGCCAGAGTCTTTATGTTTAACTAGGTCTCTTTGTGTCAGTTTCATGGTTCCTGTATGCTGTTTGCAGACTTTTATCCATTTTAAAGTGAGGATTTTGGTAGTGCTTCGCCTATAAGAGCATGCGCTTATAAGTGAGAGTGCGCTTATATCCGAATACAGGCACATGCGCCTAACTTATATGTGCGTTACTACGGTACCAAATGACGCACTTGGTGTAGTTGGCTGCGCTGCAGGCATGTCAGCATGGCACTGATGCCTCCCATGGACGACGGCTGTAGATGGGAACATCATCCAAGAAAGCAACCACACTTACGAAAAAAGGCTGCAGAACAAAAATTGATCGGTGACCTGGATGCGATGGGATTCGTTAGACTTAACTGCGCACTCAAAATGACCAAAGAGCATGTTGATAGCGGTCTTGGGAAAGCAACTCTCTTCTACTGTTTTTGGCCGGGTGATAAGCAGATGCCAAATCAAGCTGGAAAGACTAGAGCATGGTACAGGTCCTCCCTCGTTAGTACATAATCTCAGGGCCATTGAAAAAGTTCTTATAAGGCGACTTATCTTGTAACGGGACTTGCAGCTATTAAAAGTTGAAATAGGCACTATTTCATACTTACCTCGGCTACCCTTGATACAACATAAATTATCGACGCTTCAACTCGTTATAAGATAATTGAAAATCTCCAACCGTATGATAGCTCTTCCTCGGATGCAAAAGATCGTCCATATCTACGAATACATAGATATAATACGTTGCGTCTTTCTGCGTTATCCTACGTGTTTTGGCCTTGGTCTTGCATGGTCAATACTATCTTATACTGAGAGTTTGGCACTCCAGGGACCTGGGCAAAGCGTCGTTATAACGGATTTTATGTCCTAACGAACTATGTTGTAATCGGACCTGTAAACAGTTGGATACTGTATAAGCAGAAATATTCGTCCGGAATTTAATTTCGTCTTTTTCGTCCAAGGAGCTTTTGGACTAATTAAATGTAGGACGAATATCGATTTGTCCAGCATTTCTATACACTCTTATGATCCATGGACGAAATTTTCAACCGGACGAACTCCTTTTCTTTGGAGTTGGACGAAATTATTGACCGACGAAATTTTCTGCCTCTACAGTAGACTACGTTTCGCCAGGGGATTTCAGATTTCTATTTACTAACTGGGTTTATGTACTAACCGGTCTCGTTATAATGAGGGAGGACCTGTATTATGCTGTTGCCTTTGCAAAGCTTGCTCCTTGTCACCGGTCATTAGTGTTGGCGGCATCTCTACTCTAAGGAGGTGGCACTGCAGCTTTAAAGGGGAAGTTAAGCCTAGAATCAAATGTTCACCAGTTGTAGTCTTCGGGGTGCAGAGTCGAATGGTCTTGGTCCACGGAAGCTGAGACGCTCCCTTTCTCCTTTATTCCCAATTGAACTCGCACACTTCCACCGAAATTGGGTGACTGCGCCCTACTAGATGGGGATGTCTATGCGAAATGTCACTGTAGAAACGCCATTTCGTTCTTATAAAAGCATGGATGACCGCGATTGGCCCATATGTTGTAGTCTTTTGGACGCTGAGTCAACTGGTTTTGGTCCGAAAAGGCTGCAATGCAGCGTTCGGGCCTTATTCCCAATCGAACATGGTTGAACAAGCGGTCACGTGCTCATGACTTTTGATTGTGTACACCGGTCACCTGGTCACCGTACCTGCAGGGTACAGCTGACAGCCTGTTTGGGTGCATTCCTGTCACTCGAGTTGAACTCGAGTTGAACCTTGGTGTGAAAGTTGTCGCCTGCTGGCGCAGTGACCAGGTGATTGGTGTACGCAGGAGCACGTGACCGCTTGTTCAACCATGTTCGATTGGAAATAAGGCCCAAACACTGCATCGCAGCCTTTTCGGCCCAAAACCAGTCGACTCGGTGTCCAAAAGAGTATAACATATGGGCAATTCACGATCATCCGTGCTTTTATAAGAACGAAATGGCGCTTCTACAATTGTAGTGACATTTTGCATAGAAATCCACTAAGTAACTTAGTTACGAAACGTAAAAGGAGAAGTCCGGATACCATGTCGAAAGCTGTTAAGAATCTTGTCCGCAAGATGACTTCCCAAAGCCACGCTGGCCGTGGGGGGATGAGT